AAACCCTTGCTCTCTCCTTTTCTTTCTCCTCGAGCCCTGGGGGAAGACCATTTGGAGTAAATCGCATGATCTTTTCTCCTTTCTTTCTTTTATGTTTTCGGTCCTCCAAAATTGTTCTGGGAATCAGACTTTTCTTTTTGCAGAGAATAGTTTTGGCATGTTATAAGCCAACCAAAGAGAAAAAAACAGAATAAGAAGATGAAATCAGTTGTGGGAGTTGTCGTGTCAGATAAGATGCAGAAATCAGTGGTAGTAGCAGTGGACAGGCTCTTCCATCACAAGCTTTACAACCGCTACGTCAAGCGCACCTCCAAGTTCATGGCCCATGACGAAAACGATCAATGCAACATTGGTGACAGGGTATCCTTTTAAACTTTTTATTGTAACAATGTCTTGCACTTGAGTGTTATAGTAATATTTCCAATACTTCAACATGTTTTTTTCTTTTTCCAAGGTTAAATTGGATCCTTCTAGGCCATTGAGCAAGCGTAAGCATTGGGTTGTTGCTGAAGTTCTTAAGAAAGCAAGAATTTATGTACCACCATCCATGGATAAAGCTGCAAATGCAAACTTCAAGAATGAAGCACCGTCTTCTTCAACCCCTTAAGGTTTGAATCCACTTCATTGTACTTGGTTGCAAAATTCAAATTTTGTCACTTCCATTTGAAAGCCTATTACTGTTGTTTACACACTTTTGAGCAATAATTTATATACGAAGGTTGGTGTTTAAGAAAAATTTCCTCTTTTTTATGTGTTATAGTTATCATTATATTGTCTTAAAATCGTTGGATAGTTAGTTTGACCAACATTTGAGAGCTATTAGTGAATAGTATGATGGTTTAGGTCTTTTCTTTCGAGAACTTATGTTCCTATTGCTAAATCCTGTCTAATGTTCATCATGATTTTACGAGATTTATAAATTACCACATTTAATAATATAGGACCTGACTAACAATGTTTAAAATAACATTCTTGTTCAGTTAGTGTCTGTTGAAGGCCTGTTCTGCTACGTATTGATATATTCTGTTTATTTTTCTGCGACTTGGTAGAAACTTCCTTACTGTCCTCTTCTCACTGAAAAGAGTAGAAGTGGAATTATATGTTAATTTAGATGGGAATTGAACTATACTTTAGTGAAAATACGACAAACAAATGTCTATGGTTTAATATTATCATTAGAAAATATAAAAACAGATTGACTATAGTTTGATACAAGTATCGAACATCGAAAAAGAAGAATAAACTTGATATTCAAATTTCAGGAGGTGGGAGCTTTCATGAACTTGACACGAATGGTATTCTTACCTTAATGAAGTCAGAAGTGCACACCTCTAGAAATTGTAAATGTGCTTCCAAGAGATCTTTCTTTGATAAGAGAGACATTACTTATTAAGTATCTTGTGCTTAAGAATTCTTCCACTAAATTTATTTTTTAGATGCTCGCTTTCCACAATTCAAGTGATTCATATAATGGTTTATGTTGTTAGTCTCCTAAAACATTTAGTATACCATCAATTGCATTTAAAATTGTCTCCCTTTGTCTTGCATTTTGAATAACCCAGCGGGCTATTATATTAAAGCAATAAAAGTATATTAATAAAATTACAGTTAAAGAAATATTTTTCTAAATAAATTTTACAAGATTTGAGACCTTTTTTGCATATCATCTCTATTTTATTTAAAAATTAATGAAATTATACATAATAAATTTATATTTTCTATTATCATATCCTACCATGTGATCTAGTTTTTCAAAAAATTCCATATTGTAATGTCTGTATCAAATCATACTCTTATTCGTGCTTCCTAGCTTTCTAGCGTTTTTTTTTTTTTTTTGAGTATCAGCTGCCACAAGTACAAGGAACACTAAAATTTAAAAAAAACCTGTGGATGTATAGGAGTATTATTCTAATGTAGGAGCATTCTAGAATTTATCTAATTGTTTATCGTCATATGTATTCCTTTATATGTATTGTTTTACTATTATTCTTAGTTAATAATTATGTTTTTATTTTATTAAGTGGTCATATGACTAGCATGTGGTTTATGTGATTAGGTGTGATTTTCTTGTATGCAAGGGTTAAGATTAAAAGCTGTTCTAACCCAGATATAAGTAGACCTTTAGACACATTAGGTAGTTGCATTGTATTGAAATTTATTTTGTTAGATGTTCTACAACCTTAAACACAAATTACTTTGTTCCTACTTTGATTTTACATCAATCTTAGCCTTTGTTTTTGTTTTCTTTCATTGTTTTCGTTTTCTTTGTATTGTTTCTACTTTTGCACTATATCAAAGACCAAAACAATGAAAGAATCTCTAATAGAAAAACTAAAACAAATCCTAAACAAGGCTAAAGTAGAAACAAGAAAAAAGAAACTAAACAATGAAAGAAAACCAGACAGAAGGATAAAATTGGTGTAAAATTGAAGTAGGAACAAAATAACTAGAGGTTAAGGTTGTAGAACCTCAAACGGTATAACATGGTTGCTTGATGTGTCTAAAGGACTACATATGTTAGGCTTATATCAGTTTTTAATTTAGCCCTTGGATAAATCACATCTATTCCTAGCTATTCAAACTCATTAAGACATTCCATGCTAGTTACATGACCACTTAATAATGCAAAACTATAATTACTAACTAATAACTATAGTAAAACAGTAAATATAAAGGAATACATGATAAACAATTGTGCTTAACCTTTTCCACCATAAAGGAAATGAATATCAGCAGCCAATGAATCAAAGCTCATGGAGTCGGAAAAAGTAATGTATCATAATCTTATGTTCTGTTTTTCTATAGATATGTTCTTTGACTCTGTAATTATGAAGAATTGTCTGTTCAAAGCCTACCTATTCAGTGCCCTTGTTGAGCTTTAATAGCTTGATGTTTATCAATTTTATCAACAAGCATAAAAGTCTTTATATGTTATGTTACCATTGGTACATTGTGAGCTTGTTTTAGAATGTACCAGGGAAGTAATCAAGCCCAATTTTATAGTTTAATGCCCTTTATGAAAAGCTCATATTCTTTATCTTCCTCACCAGGCACTAATGTAGTTGTTGTTGCAGCCACCCAATCCTGCACAATGCTGTAACCCTTTAGATTCTCTCAATTGATGATTTAACCTTCCACTCAATTTTTCATCTCTAATCTTTCTTGTGAACAATGATCCTTCCACCATCATGTTCAATGCATTTCCAATGTGTCTTGACTGTGTCCTAACATTTTATTATTTTCTTGGCATGTCCTTTCGTATCTGATATGTATATCTTAACGTGTCTGAGGCATATTCCTATCAGGTACATTGGGGATTCCTGCATGTTCCTGCTTCAGAGAGGACATCAAATCATTTTGATTTGCCAGCTTCAGTAGATTAACCCTGTTTGCTCTTCCAATTATTTTTGACAATGAATTTTGTTGCGGACTACCCAAAAGTGGGGACCTGGATTACAAGAGGCCAAAGAAGACTTGCATCTTAAAATGCAAAGAGTATGGTTGAAAAAGAAGACTCCTGATTTGTAAACCAATTTTCTTATATACTCTGATTTATTTTTGTCAGTCTCCACTCCAGCATTCTGAACCAAACGCATCTTAGGATTTTAACTTTATTGTCAAATTAACTCCAGCTAGGTTTTTGGGTTTAGAGTCTGTTTGGCTTAGTTTTTTTTTTAACTTAAAAGCTATTATGAAATTCTTTTGAAAAATAATAACTTTTACAATTAAGTTGAAGTTATTTGTTAAATTTTTATTATAAGTTTTTTTTTATAAGTTACAATTTTAGTTAAAATTATTATAAATGATTTTTTTAGAGGATAATATTGTAATTATTTTTAACTGATAAGGGTATTTTTAAAATAAAAATAATTTTTTTTATATTTTTTTTTTAAAAAAGAAAAAGCTCCTTCTAGTAGATTTTTTTAAAGTTTTTTTTAAAAGAATTTTATTCTTTAACAAAAATTATTTTTTTAAAAGAGTTTTTTAAAATTTATGTTTGGGATGACTTTTAGAGATAGATAAATTGGAAAAAAATCAAGTCAAACAAGTACTTAATTAGTTTCACATTTCATAGATTTCACGGCAAAAAAGCAACATTAGATGCCATGGATTGTCAATTGTGCATTACTAATTCCTTGAGGGGCAGGGTAAACAAGCTCTTCCTGGGTTATATTTCGTTTTTTGTCCAAAAAAAAAAGAGCGGTAGATAGGACTGGATCAGTGGAACAGTTCCATCATAAAAATTATGATGTGCGAACACCTAAAGGAGCCAGAAACGGAATCAGTCAGAAGAGATCACATTAAGAATTAGCATGTGCGAACAGGCCTGATTGTTACGTCATCATATAATATTTTTATAAATAAATGTTGCATATTGGATGAGATGTGTATTTTCTTTCTATCGAATCATGTGATGAGTTGCTTTCGCCACTTTGTGTCATTGACAAATAAACAGTTGCTTCTCAATTTTCGTTGTTCTATATTTATATTTCTACAAAAACAATTAATTACATGATTAGATCACAATTACAAACCGGACAAATCATATTGCTTATGGAAATGATGGAAAGAAATTCAACATTTAACCAATACTTAAGAAGTTTTAGGCATAATATTAAAAAAAAAATTCAAATATTTATTCTTTTATTGTGTTCAAATAAATTCTTATAGTTAAATAAATCTTTATAATTAATAATTGATTTAAAAAAAATATTACTTATAATTCTATATTACAATAATATGTCACTATTTCATCTTATGCAATATTCACAATATTATATTGTGGTTCGGCAAGCATCCTGTACTTATATTGCTATGGTTCATCTACTAGAGTCTTATCATCAACACGTATCCATATTCGGGACTCAACATAATGTGTAGAAATATAAACAAGTTTATCAACATTATTTACATATCCCAAGTTCAATATCAACAATGTAATATAATGACTTGACTTGATACATACAGCAGAGTGTAATGACATTGAAAGGTTCGAAAGGAGGATCTCTCACATCTATAAAATATGAGTTGAGCTACAACTCCGAAGTGATCCAACCAAGCAAGATATTAATCTGAAACAAAATAGGAGAAAATATGTGAGTTACAAAGACTCTGTAAATGAATACGAAGAAAGAGACAAGCCAGTGGATAAGAGTTTTTGTAATAAATCATAGTTGCAAAAATAATTATGACAATTATATAACTATAAATGCAATTGAAACTGATGACTCATAAAATATGGTAGTCATACCAAAAGCTCAACTCACAAAATGTTTGCTAGGAGAAAATAGAAAGTAACCCATGAGCCTTCAAGTTCAACATTAAAAATTCAATGAAGAATGAACCATTCATTTAATAAATCACATCAATACATACCATGAGCAAATTAAGTAGAGAATAGGTATTTTTCCCTAACTCATCCCTATGGTATTCTTACCCCCACATTAGGACTCATAAGAAGGGAAAAGTGGTACGATGCCCAACTTAACCTTATGGTATTCTTACCCCCACACCGAGACTATGGACACCCGAAGGTGTGGATAATGTTCAATGTTGTTGTGCATTGTGATAGTGGCATTTGTTGATATATATGCACATCTTGAGCTTGTACAATTAAGTTGAGAAATTCATCAATTGTATAATGAATTAATAAAATGTATGAGTGATGAAAATGTATGAGAATGGATGTTATGTGATGCTTTCGCATGTAATGGTGAATATTTAAATATGTTTACGATACGAGGCTTACTAGGGTCTAGTGGGTTATGCTCGTTTGGGTCCACGCACTGATCACGATCCCTTCAGGAAATGGGATGTAACAAATCAAGGGTGAGTTGACTTATTTTTGACTCATTCACTTGATTGGTTCCCTCATGTAAGATTTCTAAGGTGTTCCAAACCTCCTTGGAATTTTATCACATAGATACTTTATTAGATTCTTTTGGTCTGTTAGCCTTGAGTTATATCATGTTTTGATTTGACAAAAATTACATGTTATCTTAAACTCAATGTCAAGCATTTGAAATTGTCTCTAATATATTTTTAATAACTTGAAGTCACAAAATTGTTTGAAAAGCCATGCATCATAAGAAAATATCATAAAAGCTTTCAAACAATGCACATTTAACTAAGAAAGCAAAGAGCAAACATGCCTTGAATTATTATTTTATTGTGGGAACAAGGCAAGGAAGAAATAGCTGAAGAGGGGCACCAAAAAGCTAAGGAAACTTTAAGACATAAGTCATAAGACGACCTTAGAGAAGCTCAAGTCGTCTAAAAGTAGAAAAAGTTAAAAACTTGAAGTACAAAAAGCCATAGTCGACCCTTGAGTGGCTATAGTCGACCTTAAGGCAAAAAGCTCAAAAATTTGGAGAACACCATAGTCATAGTCAACTTGAGAATAGTAGTAGTTGACCTTGGCTACTTTAATGCATAAAAAGGAAGAAATCAACACTAAAATTCTTCTTTCATCAAACACCTACAAAGCACAAATAAATCAATAACAACCTATCTTAACCACATTAACATCAAATTAAGAATAAAATTAACTAAGATTAGATTGACTCACCTAAATTAACTAACGTAAAATAATTAAATAAAATCTACTAATTTCTATACATTACTATAAGAACTAAGCTAAATTACTATCAAAATTAAGCCCAAATAACTCTATATCATATAGTTATCACAAAGCATAACAATTCACATACAAGATAAACTAGTATCACAAGTCTAACTATTACTTACATTGCTAACACATGAGAGTATTTTCATAGACACTTGAGTGAAATACCAAATGGAACTCCCATAGTAGGTCATGTTCAATGAACTTGTTCCTTGACAAGCACCCACATGCTATCCCTTAGTATCTCACATACTTCAATCTTTGAGATTGATTGCTTACTATCAAAGTAAAGAATCTAAGCATGTACTAGTCTTTGAGCATTATTATTTCCCTTATTCTTGACAACGCAATGACTAGGAACATTTTTAAGAACAAGGTTTTGATGCATAAGAATCTCATAATTATAACTTTTATAATTTCTTTGCAAGGCCATTACGTTCCAAGGACTTTATCTATGTAAGTCTCGCATGACTCTTTATAAATAAACTCATGGATAAAGAAATACCTCACAAATTATATAAAAGATCCATAATGTAGTTAACATGAAATGTGACTAATTAATGTAGTGTTTTACAAGCACAAAATCGATTAGCTTACAGGGCTTACATTAACATTTTTCTGGCTTGTTTGACTTAAGGTCTCAATACCTTTGAAGCATGTCTCGATACCCTATTGCATGAGTCAATTAAAGCCCTGATACCTCTCTTGTATGTCTCGATACCTGGTTCATCTTTGGCATTCTCAAACTGAAAGATGTCTCAAAACATTTGATATTGCTCTTTAGAAATTGAAATTTGGATGAGATGTCTTGATACTTCCTTTACATGTCTCAATACCTTGCTAATCCTTGTCAATTTTAAAATGAAGGATGTCTCGATACTTTAAAGGTAGGTCTTGATACATTGGCACATGCTTTCTAGAAATTAAAATCTATAGGTGAAGTTTGGATACCTTTAAGATAGGTATCAATACTCTTGGACTTGCTCTCTAGAATTTTGGACTTCTGAGATGATGTCTCAATACTTCAAGGCCATGTTCGATACATCAACACTTGCCTTCTGGAATTTAGTGCTTCAAAGGTGATGTCTCAATACCTATGTGAAATGACTCAAGAATTTTGCTTCTTAAAGTTGTTTCTAAGGCATTTTAAGCTTGATGTCTCAATACTTAAAATGTCATGATACCTTAATGTTGTGAGACATTTTCTAAGGCAAATTGAGTTTCAAACACTTAGCCACTTTTCTTATAAATGCTTAAGGGGTTTTGTCATGTTTAAATACACTTAAAAACTTATATGTTGATCATATGATTATGTCATTTCAAAATAGGATCAATTGTGAGGCTAACAATAGCTAAATAAAACAACAAGGCAATACAAATGTCGAGAATATTCCAACAGAAATACCAATAGATATTTGGCCATTGATGGGCACATTGAAATTAGAAATTTACCAATGAAATTTTCATAAATATTGATGAAATCTCTATTAACGATTTTTAATTAAAATGTCAAAGGACTACTAACAGAATTTTCACCAACAATTTCTTCGAGAATTTTGTCAGTTATTTGTATTATTTAAATAATGCAAACTTGTTGTTTTAATTTTCTACACGTGCAAGTATACGTACCAAACAAATAACATAATGGCAAGCAGAGTCTTGATTCCACAGAGA